CATCATGAGCATCAGCCGGCCAGCGTTTCAGCCAGCGCAAGCCGAGGGCCAGCATCACGAGCATCCGCGTGCCAGCATCTCAGCCAGCCCAAGCCGAGGTCCGGCATCATGATTATCAGCGGGTCAACTTTTCAGCCAGCCCAAGCGGGATCAGCAGGTCAGCGCTTCAGCCAACCGCGATGTCAACAGCAGCATCTCCTCTACGCCGATCTAATTTCGCCTGCAGGCAATCAAGCAGTCTAGCTGCCTCTCTGTAACCGCGTGAATATTATGCCGCATCTCTAGTACTCGTAATAACCTCAAAATGTGCTGCTTAGTGCTGGTTCGTAAGGAGTGGTCTCTGCTTATCGCCGGTAAGTATAGGGCCTCAACACTTGTATGGCCCAAGTAAGATGCAACTGAAGTGTCTGCATTGTAAGGGTTTAAGGCCCGGGGGTGGTGGTCCAGCATAGTTTTAACCAAGTCACTGCAGACAGGACAAACTGGGCATTCCTGCGAAGCTCCTGAACAAAGGATACCGCGCGTACTGGCGATGTGTTGGGTCTCCATTGTTTTGTGGTACTACTACTGGAAGAGCCACTGGTCACATGAAGCGCAGAAGTATGGAAACTCAGCCTGCCGAGAAATCTCTGAGACGATGAGACTGGCTGAAACAAGCGAGAACTCAAAGGCAAGCGAGGCAGAACATGTGCACCAGAAAGACACCAAGTGATTGCATATACATACTTTTAGGAAATGATTAATTTGAGCCCGAATCGACACGGTACAAAGTCTTCTATCCACAAGCAAAGACTAGAATGAAAACCCTACCTCATTTCCGCCACTAGCTTCATTAGGATCGCATCTCCACCACCGGAACCTAGGAGCCAGAGGGTAAGCAGCGGATGCTGTCGTAGAGATGTACAGTAATTAGTTAGTAGCGGTTAGGATGTAAGGTTCAGGTGAGGACTGTCCACGGGTAAACTACACTTCAATGGAGTCCGGTGGCCGCCTGCCCTCGCGCGACACCCTGGACCTGGTACCTGTATGCAATGCTCTAGAGTACTCCATCGACACCAGGACACTTCTCAGAATCTGAGCCTCCTTCTATACGCCGAGGACGAGGATTCTTATTGTCGGGACCCCAGAAACCACCCCCCAAATTTGAGAAGCCCCCACCATGTCTGAAAACCCACGTGCACAGTCCTCCGAGGCATGAACCAGAGCCCAACTGCCCTGCTCACTGATTCCTGTGAAGACGAATGTCAGGATCAGGATCAGGATCAGGATCAGGGTATAGGGTAGCCGGGGGCCTTTTAGGAACTTCAGAGACATGTAAGGACTATAAGTGGGATTGTCGGCGGGGGTGCAGAAAGGGGGCTACAGTAGGGATCCTCTTTGAAACATGTTTTTTGTTCTGTGGATCTGGAACCTGCATTCGGATATTTCTGACAAAGAAATGGGATGTTGGGCGGTGGGGGGGGGGGGGATGTTTGTTTCGGCAACCCGCTTCGGCAAGCCTAGTCTCAAGACACTCTTAGATGGTAGTTTCCGATGTCTTGCATTCAGATTTGAGATGGCAAGCTTTGATGTCTGGGACCTTCATGACATCATCACAAACAAGAAAGTCATAAGCGCAGCCTACAGATTTTGCTGCCAAAGTCTCTGCTCCCGGCATGAAAATCAATACTTCCTAGTCCTGAATGGTTCACGATTACCCCATGACCCCATCATCCAACACTTCATGCTTCTTGTTTAGTAGGTTAAGAACTCACGACCCATACCGAACATGCCCCAATCTCAAAGCTCCATCGGTCATTCGGGCCAGCATCGCAGGTCCGCCTTCACAAGATGGTGGAATACGCCAGCAAGCACAAGTCCCCTTCGGTCAGTCCTAGTTCTCCATACAAACTCCCACCAACAAATGTGCTTCAAATCAACAATTTCCAAACCTAGGCCCTGGGTCCTAAACCGTAAGCACTTGCTGACCCTCACATCCAAACTCACACTCTCAAACCTCCCTTCTTGAAACCCTTCAACCTTGAAACCAGGTCTTGAGGCTTCGTCAACATCCGCCCCCCAACTCCAAACCATTCTAAACCCTAAACCCCAAGCCCTCCACCTTTAGAATCCTAAACGACCTTCATCCCTACCCCTCAAGCCCTTGTCAAAGGATTTTTTTTGCGTGGCCCCTTTTGGGCTTCCGTGAGCTTCCGAAAATTAGGGGCCCCTTCTGGAGAGCTGCCAGTGGTCCCAATTCCTGGGGGCCCCTTCGAAGTAGACACCAAAGTTACGTAGAAAGAAAATCCAGAGCTTAGGGTTTCCAAACATTAGGGGCACTTTTGAATTTTGAGAGTCGCCTTATGAAGGATAATCATACATTGGTCCAATGTTGGGGCCACCTATTTATGACTCAGTTGGCAGTTTCCCAAAAACGGGCAAGATAGACCCCAATATACTATAATCACTATTATTGGGACGCCAAAAAAGGACCCCTAATTTTGGGAAACACCCAGTTTTCGGATTCATAAACCCTGGAGAAACCTGCGAGGATGGCATCTGCGTGAGGCAGCGATGCCGACTTTACCCCGCCGAAGTGCATCGACATGGCTTCGGGATGTGTTCGGGTGCAGGGTAGCAATAAGAGCTTAGGACTTGAGGCTTGGGCTTCAGGGTGTGGGTGAAGGCAGAGGTTTAGAGCTTGGGGTTTAGGGTAATTATGGGTAGAGGGCTGAAGGTTTAGGGCTTGGATTCTTATGACGGTTACGTGTAGGGTTGCATGGGAATGTTTAGGACGCTTGGGGATTCCTTCTTACATGAGCTACTGTCTAAACTCCTAGTATCCCCCTTAATAACCCCTATAGTAGTCCCTATATAATCCCCTATATTGACCCCCTTAAAGGAATTTAGACTATAGCTCACATGAATTTCATGGAATTGCGAGGCTGGGAGGTAGAAGCATGGGGCCCCAGTGTGGTCTGCAAATCACCTTGTCCTTTATCCAGTACCGTAAGGGTCCAAGGACCCAAATAACAGGGTTTAAGGGCCCAAATACTATACTGTGACTATAATATAAATGGTATTTGGGCCCTAAAGCCCTATTATTTGGGTCCTTGGACCCTTAGGGGTAGGTAGCCAGCAAAAGGCTTTGGAGATAGCAATTGAATGCCGGGAGCAGCCGCTATTTTCCTAGCAGCACGCGGCGTGGATAAGATGAGAGTGGGGGTTGAGGTAGGGGACCACTGGTGTGGAGCCCAGAAGCAGACCGGAGACCAAGTGCAGGCATTCGCAATAAAGCGCTAAATAGTCCAGGCTGGGGTTTGAGGGCTGAGGGCTTACAGCATGCAGTGCAACTCAAGGAGTCCCCCTGAAGTGCATACAAAGGGCGTGTATGCTATTCTGGGTCCACTGATGAACTGATGAACCTGGTTCTACGCAAGGGGGGCGGAACGATTTAGGCAGGGGATACTCATAATCAACGGAAGTCGAGCATCGTAGAGATTTTGGCCGGGACGAAGTCACGTCCATCATGAGAACATTCCAGA